TTGATTAATAACATATTATCAGGCCATCATTTGAAGTGATAATTTTAAGAGGAGATGTGTAAGAGGTCAGATAGCCCATAAAACAGTATTCCAAGGGTCCTGGGTTCAAGTCCCGGTTAGGCAGCACATTTTTCTCACCCTGTAGCACTTGCATCAGAATCTGTTTTTTATGAGTCAAATACATGCCGTTACAAGAAAATTGTGATGAAACTTTCCTTACTTAAATACGAAACAATTACATTCACTGGAGTAATATTCTTCAATAAAATGTGCTAGAAATCATTTAGTACAACACAATTTACCTTTGCAAGTAGTTTCAAATCAGTGCCAGTTTCACCAGTTAGAACAACCACTTTTTTTCCAAGCTGCAGTCCAAACTTACTGTACCAATCTGTGTACATCTGAAACAAAGAATTACCATGCATTAAAATTGACAGAACCATCAGAGAAAGTTATAGCCAACATCATTTATTGGAGACTGGTATGTTTATCTGCTAAGCAAGTAAGTCTCATCCGACTTTCACTTAGTTAGGATTTTAATATTTTAATATTCTTTACTTGAATACCTTTTAAATAATTATGGATATTCTAAATTCTAAACAGGGCAAGTCAATTGCACACAAATAACAATTGGAGGGTCAACAAAATAAAGACAGATACTTTTTTAGGTTGTATTCTGTAAGTTTAGTTTGTTGGTTTATCAGCAACAATTAGAAATTGTATGAACAGTCAAATGCTAAGTATATAAAATAAACAGACCAACCAAAAACCTCATTTTTGTCACATCAACAACATAAAGGTTATATGGCACTTTCCAACTTTACTTGTGGAAGACAAGGACCTGATGACCTCTATGCATTATTTCAGGAAAATTCCAGCTCCTTGGTAAAACCACTGGCACACCAACGCAATTATCATAGTATTGCAAGCAATCCATAAGTCCCCTACCGGTTAGAACCCCATCAACATTCTGAAGGGCCATTGGCCATTCACTAATGTTTCAATTTTTCTATATTTTAAGTAAATTTGTTGGAAAAGTTCTTTAAAAGAGATCACAGGAAACAGTTTTTATGAACAGACAGACAGACGGACTAAAAGACACTCTTAAGTTAATATTTGAAACATCCCTGTTACCAAAATATAACATTTTTAAAAGCAAAATTCTTAAAGAGAAGATAACTCTTGAATTAAAGATGCAATTTCATAAAAAAATTTCAGCTCTTTTTGACTAATCACAAATAATGTTATATTTGCCATGTTTTAAGCCTATTTGTTGCCAAGGCAACCAATATTTTTTCAAAATAGGGAGAACAGATAAGACATGCATAATCTCAAGACTGCCATCTACCCATATGTCAAGTTTCATAAAAATATTTCCTGTACTTTTTGAGTTATCACTGGATTCAGTGTATGTGTAAAATTTGCCATATTTTCAGTCTATGTGTTGCCATAGCAACCAGAATTTTCAACATAGGAAGAAAAGAAAAAGACGTACATAATCTCCAGACTGCCATCTACCCATATTACAAGTTTCATAAAAATATTTCTATTACTTTTTGCGTTAACATAGGATCCAGTTTATGTGTAAAATTTGTCATATTTTCAGTCTATTTGTTGCCATAGCAACCAGAATTTTCAACATAGGAAGAAAAGAAAAAGACGTGCATAATCTCCAGACTGCCATCTACCCATATTTCAAGTTTCATAAAAATATTTCCAGTACTTTTTGCATTATCACTGGATCCAGTTTATGTGTAAAATTTGCCATAGTTTAAGCCTATTTGTTGCCATAGCAACCAGAATTTTCAGCATAGGAAGAAAAGAAAAAGACGTGCATAATCTCCATACTGCCATCTATCCATATATCAAGTTTCATAAAAATATTTTCAGTACTTTTCAAGTTATCGCGGGATCCAGTTTTGTGGACGGACGGACTGACGGACGGACAGACTGACGGACAGACAGACAGACAGACAGACGGACGGAGGGTAAACCTAAAGTCCCCTCCGGTAAACCGGTAGGGGACTAATAATAATAAAAACTTGTCTGGGTAATTCTTTTGAGCTGTATATGAAAAGTAGTTGAATGGTACCTGTTGGGCTAGGGGTTCCAGTGGTGTTACAAAAACACATCTACCATCTGCATTTTGTGAGAACATTCTAAGAACAGCAAATTCTGCACAAATTGTTTTACCACTCCCTGTTGGTGCCCCAACAAACACATTGTCATCACTGTTGTAAATGGCGTTAAATACTAAAATATAAAGAAATATATCTAAGTTTTTTTCTCAGTCAGATTTTATGTTGTACAAGCACAATATAGGCAATATAGCAACTTTCCAGCTTTACTTGGTGGAGAAAATCCTCAGGTGCTCTTTTCCTGAATATTTCAGGCATGAATAGTTGAGTAGAACCAATGATGTTGTGTAAGCTCACTAGAGAGTTTCTTTACAGGAAATAATTCAAAGTCCGTGACAGGACAGGAATCGAACCCACAGCAGTGATGGGCAAATGGGCTCAAGTCAATGACCATGCACTGGATGCCCATTTTTAATTACAATATCATTAACATTGTCCAAGTATAAATTTCAGCTAAAACCTGAAACCGCTACTACAATCCGATGACATTACTTTTAGTACAGTCCTATAAATACTTGTTATATTTGAAATAACATCAACACCATTAACACTAATATAGCTACTTTTATTACACTATAATTTTAATGAAATGAGAAAGAACAAAGTGACAATTAGTCATCTATATGACCGTGTTCCTTCTTTCACATGATTTTAAGCAAAGATTTAACAGTCACAATACCACCTACCTTGCGTCTGAATTGGGTTGAAGAATGGAAACTTCTCGCTGTAGAGAGATTCAAAGTTTGGATTTCTCAAAGCTGACACTGGCAGTGGCTGCAAGTCCAGTAACTCTGTCGGTGGTGGATACTTCTCTGGTAAGATCAAGTGTCGGAATGAGACCGGCAGCAACGTCTCTGCACCTGTAATGCATAGTCAATTAATAAGTGGCAACATATTTCACAAAATCAGGTTTTTTTCCTCACTAATTTAACATACCAGAAACATTTCACAGACTTACAATAAAACACTTTATTTTTTATCTGCTTTTCAATGAAAACTAGTTTGTACATACCAAATATATTTTAGTTTAAATAAATTACTTTAAGCTAAACTGGGAACATTTTCTTGCAACTTATATTAATCACTTTCGAGTGCTGCTTCCTGGAACCAACCAGTACTGGTGTCGTATAAAGAAACATAGTTTAGACCAGAGTAGGGGTCAAACCCATGATCCCTGGGTTGAGAGGCAGACACCTTTACCAATAGGCAACTGCTCCCCTTTATACAAATACAAACTCTTCTAAAAACACCAATCTAACTCACCTATCCACCTGTCAGACACAACTCTGATGAAGTACTGAGGGGGCAGAGGCTCAAACACTGGTACAAAAAACTTCACATAATGCTCATCCTGTGCAAACTTACTGTAAAATATTAAAAAAGAAACTTAATTTTCAATTTACAGCTACATTAATACACAAACATTTCATGGAAACCATGGTAAATAGTTATTGCTTGATTGATTGACTGGGTTTTACATCACATCAACACAGTTTAGGTCATATGGCGACATTCCAGCTTTACTGATAGAAGAAGACCTTTGGTGCCCCTCTACGCATTATTACAGACACTCGAGTAGTACCATCGACATACCGGAAGGTAGCTGGATAGCTTCCTCACATGAAAGAGGAAGCTATCCAGAGTCTATTTTGGGATTCAAACACACAGTGGTGAAGGGCAAGTGGTTTGAAGACAACAACCTTCTTCACTTGGCCAAGGATGCTACTTAACTATGAAAACAAGAGCGATCAGTAATCACATGTATCGCCTCATGATGGCCAATTTCATGTTGGGACAAATTTTGTGACAGACAGACAGACGGACAGTGCACAACTAGACTTGGTACTGATCATTCCTGTAAAGTTTGGATAAAATTGCACCAGTAGTTTATGAGGAGTAGTCCGGACAAGCTTTTGCGTATCTGGCAACACACAGAAAAAAAGACCTTTTTATCAAAGGGCCATAACTCGGCCAAAAATCATTCAACCGGAAAACCCGTGCAATATGCGCAAGGACTTGAGCTACAGATCAATCCTGTAAAGTTTCATTGAAATTGCATAAGTGGTACAAGAGAAGTAGTCCGGACAAACTTTAAAAATAAAAATTATTAAAGGGCCATAACTCTGACAAAAATCATTGAACCGGAAAATGCTGACAATATGCACAACTAGACTTGGTACTGATCATTCCTGTAAAGTTTGGATGAAATTGCACCAGTAGTTTATGAGGAGTAGTCCGGACAAGCTTTTGTGTATCTGGCAACGACAGAAAAAAACACCTTTTTGTCAAAGGGCCATAACTCGGCCAAAAATCATTCAACCGGAAAACCCGTGCAATATGCGCAAGGACTTGAGCTACAGATCAATCCTGTAAAGTTTCATTGAAATTGCATTAGTGGTATAGGAGAAGTAGTCCGGACAAACTTTAAAATTAAAAATTATTAAAGGGCCATAACTCTGACAAAAATCACTGAACCGGAAAATGCTGACAATATGCACAACTAGACTTGGTACTGATCATTCCTGTAAAGTTTGGATGAAATTGCACCAGTAGTTTATGAGGAGTAGTCCGGACAAGTTTTGTGACGGACGGACAGACGGACAGACGACGGAGAAGTGATCCCTATATGTCGCCACTACTCCGTAGAGGCGACACAAAAACCACAAAGGTAACTGAAAATAGTCAAATTCTACAAAGTTACAATTTAATCTATAAACATTTGCCACAAAAAAATGAATTATTTTGTAAAATGTTGCATGAAAAACCGACATTTGCTTAACATCTATTAAGCAAAAATAAGTTCAGTTTTGAGAAAATTGGCTGACAAAGTAACAGATTCAAATATGAGAATTCAGCAATGTTGCATATACAGGGCTGCCAACAGCAAATTGCAAAATCAGTGGAAAATACGCCGGGGGTCAAGGGGGCTGCGCAAGCCCCTTTGCGGGTCCAGGGCAGAGCCCTGGTGGGGGACCAGGGGGCGAAGCCACCTTGAAGCTCCTGGATTCTGATGATTTGGTATGCCCTAAAATCAATTTCCTGGATTCTAAATTTGACAAATATCCGACATTTTGACGCATTTTGACAACATTTTAGAGCGACAATGTAAACTGTAATTTGATTGGTTATTCTAAAATAGAATACCGGAAAAGACTGGATATGACCAATGAGAAAAGCGCTTACAGACGTACCATAGGCGGCTAGCGTAACGATGAAAGCCGAAGCGTGCCGGTTTTTGGGTACTGTATAAAATATGACGAATGAATTTGTTGTCTTTGTCGAATTTACATCGATCTCAAAAATGACCCAGGAGCTCACGAAATCCGCGGATCCGCGGAAAATCGGCAGCCCTGCATATAATGGACGTATAGAAACTAAGGTAAAACTAAAGCTTTTACAGGGCAATTGTCAAGAAGTATTCCTTTTGTGTAATTCTATATTCAAAATGGATATTTTTCGAAGAGCAAGAAAAAAACCCTACTCTTTGAGAAGGAAGTATTCGTGGTGCAGGATCACTTCACTGTCCACGTCCTCCACAAGGATCCAGAAAGCCTCTGACGTACCATGAACCTTCTCGTCCCACTGGAAATCTGGTGTTATAGTCAACTCTACTCTCAATGTTGATCTAAAAATAGAACAAAATAAATTATTTCTCTGAATTTTAGAGTCAATATCACATCTGTAACAACTTAAATAATGTAACGTCCAAGATGTTGAAAAAACAACAAAGTTTCATGCAGAAAAAGAAACACAATCGCATATACATATTCAACAATCTACAGATGCTCCCCAAGAAACCCTGCAATGTAATTAACAGGATTTAAATTGTGAGCTTTAAAGCCATATAACTGACAATATGATTTAGTGTTCATCTGCAAAAACTGTATTACTTATCTGTAACAGCTACATGACTTTCAATGTGCAATTTTAATGGAATTCGTCCCTTATGCATATGCTATATAATGCTACCGAGTATTGCCAGCCTTACTTCTGTGCATTCTGACCGGACTTTAGGCTGTCAGCTGCTCAATACGGGTAATATGATATTCCAATCACTTAAAATTATAAACACATAGAAAATCAATGAATGGATATTTTTATCAATGCATTCAAGAATGGATATGGAAATTTCTGACGGAAAATAAGCATATAGTAATAAATAAAAACCTTGTAATTGGTAGAATGTGCACAGAAAGCTCGAGTTTTGGGAACTGATGAATAAACTTGTGAACATTCTTGCCGAACTTTGGCATCTTAATGAGTTCTCCGATCTCGTTATGATTCAGATCATAAAGTCTCTCAAACGGTAAATTCTTCTTCTCAATTCTCTTTACTACTTCCTCTTTCTCGTGAACTTTCTTGAACTTGAACTGCCGTAACGGGGTCATTGACTGCCACCTGTTAACAAACACAATGCCAACAAGATCATATCTTTAATATAAATATAGGCTCGGCTTATCAAATTACAGGACTAGGCCCATCTAAAATTATTTTATTCATTTGTGATTATATATTTGTATCACCAACCATGTAAAATATTTAGAGCAAGTGCTACAGTTTAAACTCAAATAACTGACATACATTTATCTGTTTGTTTATTTTCATTTAACTGAATTCCACTGTGTAAAACAATCGTTGATTGGTTGTTAAGAAGGGTAATCCTAAAACTATGGTTATCGACACATGGACACAAACATCTACTTACAAATTACTTCTGATTATATTTTTTGAATCACTTTAAAATGCATGAAAATGGGCTTAAGCATCGACTTCTGTATCATCTTATACTAATACTTATAATATAACTCATACTTTATAAATATAAATACAAAATCTTACCATACAATTTTCTCTATTCAACTAAATTTTTTGCATTTTGAAACCAAAATTCCTATACTTTACAATAGACGGACAGATCAAACTTAAGTAGGTCAAGCCTATGATATAACTTAAGATATAGATTATTAATAGTATTCAGCAATAAGAAAGTAACTTTTTCAATCAGTACTACAATAATAAAGTAGAATATAGATATTTAATAGACTTACATTCGTTTATCAACCATTTTACAGAGTGCTAGAGCCTTGTCAGTAAGCTGTGCCCATCCTCTATGTAACACAATCTCAAACACGGCTCGCATTAGCCGACTAGCAGACTGGGTCACATATACCATGTCTGCCATAAGCGCGAAACCCTCCAACTATAATATATAATAAATAATATAAGGAAAGATATCAAATACAATTCTTCCATCAATCAATGTCTACACTATTTATGACTGTTATTCTATAATTGGTAACAAAAAATCTTTAAAGAGGTTTTCGGGAGTTTACATATAGACATATAAGCAAAACAAAAACTGTGCAATCAAATTTCTTTCAACTTGGCATGATGTTAGAATATAATGACAGAACAAAGTATTGTGCTACATTTTTTTTCAATAAGTGGTACGAAAACAATTGTGTTCGTGACTATACCTTTAACTGTGAGATATAAGCCTGTAACAGTACATTGACTTTAGCACTTGGTTCTTCAATACTCTCTTTGATTGGTATAGGAACTCTTTCCAGCAACTTCAACAGTTCCAACTTCTCTTCCTGTAAAACAGTTCACATTGTTTTGACCCTTTCCTCGCTAAATTATCTTAAATGGACTTATCATTTTTTTTCAATCTAGACAAAACCATTCATCAATTTCAAGAAATGTTCATAGCATTTACTAAATGAATAGCAAACAGTGCAGACCATAATCATTAATCATAACGTAACATGAAATAATGCAATGTCTTCACAATAATTTGCAAAATGTAAATAGATGCAAGAAACCACAAAAAATTAGCCATGGATGTGTTTTTAACTGTTTATTTAGTTATTTTCATGAAATACAATATATATCTCATTGATGTCCCTTAAGATATACTTTATACATAAATGTGTTCCATTCTTATCTATTGAACAAAACATCACACAAAAGAATTTCTAAAATCTACAGGCTTTTTCATGTCTTTCAAGATGATCAGAACTTTTTTTGACACACAGCCTGTCATTTATGCAGTCGGGTAAGACTCTAAACTGTGGGCTACTAAAACTTAATTATTTTAATATTTTATTTGATATTTTATTGAATTCAGGATTTCTATTGAATTCAGGAAATCAATCCAGATTAATGTCTTCAATTTAAAATGACCATATTTTCATAAGGTAATAATATATGACTAATATGTACACTTCCTTACCTCTCTAACTGTGATATATTTAAACTCTGATGACAGAGAGAACACTCGGAATAGTTCTATTTCACTAAGTGTAGGTTTCAAAAGCTGATTGTATGTGGCTATTGTCTCGTGTGTAAGGTAAAAGTGGCTCGCAATACGTCCCAACTCTGTCACCTGTAAAATATATACATATATATTTCTTTTTCTGCTTGGTTCTTAAGACCAAATAAAATAAGCCTTTTACCAATGTCTGTAAGTAGCTTAATCCATTGTTCTAATTTATTAAGTTATGGCTACAAAATGTAATATCATCACTGTCATTTACACAAAAGCTGTGCTCATTAATTCTAAGTGTTTGGTAGTATAACAAGAGACTGGATAATGCAGAATTTTCTAAGTTCAAAAAAGGGCTCTAATCCTGTCGAATTCCAGTAAGAGTTATTGGCCTTGGACAGTGATCTCCTAGTATGCTCTCAAATAACTGAGCAAAGTTTCAACACATTCCCTTCAGTAGTTTTGAGATACAAACTTGCACACAAAAACTTGACCAAAGTGTGACGCGGATGCCTGGTTGTGAATAATAGCTCTCCCTATTCTTTTAATAGTCCAGTAAAAACCTGTTTTTACCTTTTTGTTGGGTAGAAGACACATCATTACTGCAAATATAATCTGACAACTTTTAAGCTTTTCATTGATAGTGGAAGAACCTGCAATCCCCAATCTTTGTACTATCATAATTACAGGAGCATGCAGACATCATAATTACAGGAGCATGCAGACAAGACAGCTGCTTAGAAATCTTATACAAATGAAATTCAAAGTCTTTGTGGAAATTTAGCCTACAGTTTTGTGGCAAAACAATTGAGGTCAGTGACTAACTTTCAGCCATGGTACATAATTATACCCCAAATACAACCCAAATTTAGTACAAATACCAACTTAGTTATAAGCATCCAAATTTAAATAAATTTCACACATTGTTTTAACTTTCCACTTTTAATGTACATGTTTATCTTATATTGAGAAACTATAAAACTTTACATCTTTAAATTAGAAACAGATATATTAAAGAAATATTTTGGAAAAGGTGAAATTTTGAAAAGCTTTTAAAGTTTTTTTGTTTTTGTTTGTAAATTTTTAATGCAAAAGATTCGTCATATATATATATATATAACAACAGTTTAATCTACCTGGAAACTGCCCGTCTTTTTGTCATACTTGACGAGGTTGTGTTTATCAAGAAGACAAGCTGCTGAATGAATCAGATCTTTCCGACGTTGATGCAGCAATGGATCGTCTTTGATCTGGTCGTGACTAACTCCGTACAAGGTCGGCTGACGTAACATTCGAATATAAAGGTATGTGTAACCTGAAAATAATGATCCTTACATTTTTCAAATGAAGTTTTGAAAGACATACAATAGAATTCAGTGCATCAGTTATATCATTTAAAAACATTGTAGCTAGCTTTTTAATCAAGTGATGAAATAAACATGTTTTTCATTTAAATTCTTCTTTTATAATATAACTACTATATTTAGCCAACCTATATTATAAGTAATAAATATCGACATACATGTATAACAAAAGTATATGTCAGATATCACATGACATACCTAGCCAATCAACTGCTTCTTTGACATTCTGTACAGTGCCGAGGACCACCTCCGCGTTAAGGTTATCAGCCATTTTGCCGATAAACTGACTTTCAATTGGTAACTGTTGATTCATCAATGACAAATAATACTGAAGCTCACTGTGATTGGTCAACATGATACCTTCTCCTTTAGTGTCATACTGAGGTCTTCCAGCACGTCCTAACATCTACAAATACAAGATAATACATCTCAGATCTAGTCATATTTCTACAAGTATCATTCATGACTATTTGTCATGGTAAAATTACAGTTAACAAATTGATGTGGTGATTTTTAAGCCATACAGGAATAGGAGGACTTAAAAATTGAGCCGCAACACAACAAAACCAACATAATGCGTTTGCGACCAGCATGGATCTAGACAAGCCTGCTCATCCGCGCACTCTGATCAGGATCGCTATCAGTTTCTCTACTTGTAATAGAGTTGGTAAGCGAACAGCATGAATCCTGATAAGACTGCGCGGATGCGCAGGCTGGTCTGGATCCATGCTGGTCGCAAACGCACTATGTTGGTTTTGTCATGACGCGGCTTAAATATTATTTCTGGCACGAGCAACCATATCCAAAGAACATCTGACCTGTTTGCTAGCTAGATGACATGCTCATTTAGAGTCAGAAACATTCACCATATAATAAGAGGCACTTTCTTATAGGCATCTCAGTTTACATTTTGCTGTTTTCCTTTTCCTTTTCAAGGCTAAATTTCAACTGTAGGTTTACCGGCTGAACATTGTTTAAAGATCATACAATTTTTTTTATTAAGAATTAATTATATGAACACAACTTAGAAATTTATTGTAAATATACAGTTATTGTAAATGTATCATATTTATTACAAATTATTTATTGTGTATATGTATGTGTGCATGTATTTTAAATTAGTAATAATCAAGGGCAACTTTAATCATTTATTTTACATCTTTCATCATATGCCTTTCATACAAAAACGGATAAATGGAGACGAAAAAAATGAAGAAATTTATGGAAAGCATCCTGGAAAGGATAAAATTGTGTTTATCATTCACTAATGGCATATCAAAACTAGTAGTACCTGCATGACATCAAGGGCACTTAACTCCACCCATCTTCCCTTCTCTGGACTGTATATTTGTGTCCCTTTAATAATGACAGTATGTGCGGGTAGATTGACACCCCAGGCGAGAGTTGATGTTGACACTAACACTTGTATATGTCTGTCTGTGAACAAATCCTCTACCAGGGCTCGATCAACTCTGTATATAAAAACATTTCATGTATAAAATGTGCTTTTTCTAATTCAATCTATCACTATATCTAACAAACAGAGTAATCTTAACAAACAGAGTAATCTCAACAGACGGAGTAATCTTAACAAACAGAGTAATCTCAACAGACAGAGTAATCTTAACAAACAGAGTAATCTCAACAGAGGGAGTAATCTTAACAAACAGAGTAATCTCAACAGACAGAGTAATCTTAACAAACAGAGTAATCTCAACAGACAGAGTAATCTTAACAAACAGAGTAATCTCAACAGAGGGAGTAATCTTAACAAACAGAGTAATCTCAACAGACAGAGTAATCTTAACAAACAGAGTAATCTCAACAGACGGAGTAATCTTAACAAACAGAGTAATCTCAACAGACAGAGTAATCTTAACAAACAGAGTAATCTCAACAGACAGAGTAATCTTAACAAACAGAGTAATCTCAACAGAGGGAGTAATCTTAACAAACAGAGTAATTTCCAGAGACAAATTTTCTCCACAGACAAACATAGTACTCTCCTCAAGCAGATTTTTTAAACAGACAATATTCTTCACTATCAAAAAGAATAACCTTAACAGACAAATTATGTAATCTCAACAGACAAATTGAAAGTTCTCAACAGACAGAACAGGGGTATTTCACATTTTAATCCTAAGTATAAATCTTTGATAATGAAACAAAAATTTCCTATAAATCTGGTTCCAGTAACTTTACAGTATCATTAAGTACATACTTATTCATGCCAGCATGATGTATAGCAAAGCCATATGGTAGTAGATCTTTCAGCTCCAAATTCTTCACATGTTCCGATTCTGTACGTAAAACTTCTGTTGATATTGATCCTTCCTTCAGGAAGAGACCCAGTGTATCTTTCTCCAGGCACATGTCTCGTATTGCACGAGCTGTCTTTCCTGTTTCCTTTCTCGAATGTACAAATACCAAAACCTGGAAAAAATAGAATGTTCTCTATCAATATACTTAAAATTATGATGAGGTTGTTTAATTCTGTAGCCTCTGCAGAGGTGCCCTTTGTTTAAGAAAAAATATTTTGGTTTTTGTGTCGCCTCTACGGAGAAGTGGGGACATATAGGGATCACTTCTCCGTCGTCTGTCTGGCCGCCCTTCCGTCACAAAACTTGTCCGGACTATTCCACATAAACTACTGGTGCAATTTCATCCAAACTTTACAGGAATGATCAGTGCCAAGTTTAGTTGTGCATATTGTCAGCATTTTCCGGTTCAATGATTTTTGTCAGAGTTATGGCCCTTTAATAATTTTTATTTTTAAAAGTTTGTCCGGACTACTTCTCTTATACCACTAATGCAATTTCAATGAAACTTTACAGGATTGATCTGTAGCTCAAGTCCTTGCGCATATTGCACGGGTTTTCCGGGTGAATGATTTTTGGCCAAGTTATGGCCCTTTGATAAAAAGGTGTTTTTTTCTGTGTGTTGCCAGATACACAAAGCTTGTCCGGACTACTCCTCATAAACTACTGGTGCAATTTTATCCAAACTTTACAGGAATTATCAGTACCAAGTCTAGTTGTGCACTGTCTGTCTGTCTGTCACAAAACTTGTCCCAACAGGAAATTGGCCATCATGAGGCGACACATGTGATCACTGATCGCTCTTGTTAATTATTACGTTAAATGAAATATATTGTTGTTTTTACATGTTCAGTGTATGTAAGATACCAAATTACTTTGCAGAGTTGTCAATTCTGATCAATAAGCATCATTTAGTTTTAAGGAACAAAAAATATAAGTAATGAGAAAGAATGAAAACATGAATTAGTTAAACTGAAAATAATTCTCTTCTTTCCAAAGGTAGTTTTAGGCATTGATAAATATCTAATACCTTCAGAAGAAAAATTCTGTAAAACATGTCTCAACATTTGGCTTCTCTCAAAATATTTCTTTAACTAGTAATCTTTTATTAATAATAATTCATTAGTTTACCTGATTTTTCCCAGCATGCTCCATAACCTTCTCGTAGACAATCTCGTTCATAATCTGAAATCTCTTCACTGGTTTCTTCTCAGTTATACCAATAAACTGCTGTTCTAACGGTACAGGTCTGAAACTGTTGTCAAAGAAGAACAAGCCCTCAGATGGCTCGACACGTAGAAACGTGGCCACGTCTTCATAATTAGGCAGAGTAGCACTGAGGCCAACAAGCCGGACATCCTCTTGGGTAGTTTCAATGTTTCTTATCGTTCTGAAAGTAAATTTTTTAGTTTTAAATATTTCAAATTATATTATTAGTGTAACTACTATACTGTATACTTTAAATTTCATAAAGGACCATATTTATTTAACAAAAAAGAAGAAAATATTTATTGCCAAGCAAGAGACCATTTTATAATGTACGTAGTACGTAATAAAAGATACAAAAATCAAATCAATATCTGTTCTTTCAACCATTATGAACTGTTATGAATTGGTTAAAATAGACTTATACCTCTTTTCAGTTTTCATATATCTTTTTTCCTTACATTTTTGTCACATGAGAGGGCATTTTCCACTGGGATGTAATTATTGGAGAAAATACCATGATTGAGATCTGTAATACTTAGGTAAAAAATCTGACATATTGCACTTCTAGAAGAGCTAACAGCCTTTGTATATTCTTAAGTAACCTACCTGGCAACAAGAGATTCTAAAACTGGTCCTCTTTCATCGTGCAATAAATGCACCTCATCCTAAAATACAAAATAATTTCTTAAGTTATGATATGAAATAACAATACAATTGTTTAAAAAAGGTTCTTTGTTTTACCAATATCAGATTTCAATTAAGTTTATGATGTTCTTTGCTATTTTTTTAGACACACTAAATAGTTGCAAATTTGTACTAGCCGGTATTAGTCAGGGAAGTAAAATTTAATGTCCCACCAACACCGCTTATGTCATATAGTAACATAACTGTCATATGGCAAGATGCTCTATTATCAAATATTTAAGCTTATAGCTTTTCAGCAATGGCTTTTGTAAGAGAGGGACTTAAAATAAGCTATTGTGCCTTATGCACGATTCAAACCGATATATATTCTACCTATCAGATGTTATGATATAAATAACACAGTAAATGAATCAAAATGTCAACCAAGTTCAAATGAAAGTTGTGACAAAATGAACTGCTCAGTCACACAAACAAGAGGGCCATGATGGCCCTGAGGTCGCTCACCTGTATATAGCCCCCCCCCCCAACCATCCCCCCCAACCTTGCAGGGCCAATTTAACCCAAGGGCTTTTATTTGCACAAACTTGGTAGACACATATAAGAAGATGTTTCATGCTAAACATCTAAGCTCTAGCTCATTGGGCTTTTTTAAAGAAGATTTTTTTTTGAGTTTTTACTATACACATATAGTTAAAAACAATGACACCCCTGGGGCCGGGCCAGTTTTGACCCCAGGGCTTTTATTTGAACAAACTTTGTAGACACTTACTAGAAGATGTTTCATGCTTAATATCTAAACTCTAGCTATTTGGGTTTTTTCAAAGAAGATTTTAAGTTTTTGCTATGTATACACATATAAAGAAAATCAATGACCCCCAGGGCGGGGCCAATTTTGACCCCAGGTCTTTTATTTGAACAAACTTTGTAGACACTCACTAAAAGATGTTTCATGCTTAATATCTTAACTCTAGCTATTTGGGTTTTTTCAAAGAAGATTTTTTAAGTTTTGCTATACACATATAAGGAAAATCAATGACCCCCGGGGCGGTGCCAATTTTGACCCCAGGGCTTTTATTTGAACAAACTTGGTAGACACCTATTAGAACATGTTTGATGCTAAATATCTTAGCCATAGCTCTTTGAGTTCTTTAAAAGAAGATTTTTTAAGTTTTTACTATATGCATATAGGGAAAATCAATGACCCCCCGGGGCGGGGCCAATTTTGACCCCAGGGCTTTTATTTGAACAAACTTGGTAGACACTTATTAGAACATGTTTCATGCTAAATATCTTAGCTCTATCTCTTTTGGTTCTTTAAAAGAAGAGTTTTTAAGTTTTTACTATATGCATATAGGGAAAATCAATGACCCCCTGGGGCGGGGCCAATTTTGACCCCAGGGCTTTTTTGTGAACAAACTTGGTAGACACCTATTAGAACAATCTTAGCCATAGCTCTTTGAGTTATTTAAAAGAAGATTTTTTAAGTTTTTACTATATGCATATAGGGAAAATCAATGACCCCCCGGGGCGGGCCAATTTTGACCCCAGGGCTTTTATTTGAACAAACTTGGTAGACACTTATTAGAACATGTTTCATGCTAAATATCTTAGCTCTAACTCTTTTGGTTCTTTAAAAGAAGAGTTTTTAAGTTTTTACTATATGCATATAGGGAAAATCAATGACCCCCTGGGGCGGGGCCAATTTTGACCCCAGGGCTTTTATTTGAACAAACTTGGTAGACACCTATTAGAACATGTTTGATGCTCAATATCTTAGCCATAGCTCTTTGAGTTCTTTAAAAGAAGATTTTTTAAGTTTTTACTATATGCATATAGGGAAAATCAATGACCCCCTGGGGCGGGGCCAATTTTAACCCCAGGGCTTTTATTTGAACAAACTTGGTAGACACTCACTAGAAGATGTTTCATGCCAAATATCTAAGCTCTAGCTCTTATGGTTTTTTAAAAGAAGATATTTAAAGTTTTTTCTTTCGGTTGCCATGGCAACCAGAGTTCTGCATGGAATTAAATTCTTTGAACAATTTTTAAAGGTGACCACCAAAGGAACATTCCTGTGAAGTTTGGATGAAATTGGCTTAGTGGTTTATGAGGAGATGTCATTTAATGTAAAAGTTTACGGACGGACGCCGGACGGACGCCGGACGAAAAGCGATCACAAAAGCTCACCCTGTCACTTTGTGACAGGTGAGCTAAAAATATTAGACAAACATACAAAACTTGTAAGTTAAATAAAGGGAGCTTACAAAGATCATAAGTCTGACAAGTTGTGTATAAGTTCTCTCCCCTCCTTTTCTTGTAATGATATCCCATTTCTCTGGTGTACAAACAATAATCTGAGTGGCATTTATCTGTTCCTTTGTCACTTGAGAATCACCTGTCAACTCCTCTACTTTGATACCATAGGACTTCAATCTCTGTAACAGGAAGAATTCTTTTTTATCAGCATGTAAATGATTATAATTATGCAATACGGGACTACTTTAAAGACTCATTTCTGTACTCATCAATAATCAAGCACTTATTTCAAACAAAACCGAGTGACTAAATTCAAATTTCCAACAAATGTACCTGAACCGTAGCTAAATAACTAAAACTACAAAGAACTGTTACAATGTTTTCAGCCACTTAATAAGCAAACAGTTTGTTGACCTGATAAGGTTCATTTAGTTTGAATTGATTACACAAAACAAGTATAAACACAGTATATGTCATATGGCGACTTTACAGCCATACTGGTGGAAGAAGACCTAAGGTTTCCTTGTGAGCATTATTTCAGGCACAAACTGGCACCTGAGTAGAACCACCAACATTCTGTAAGCTAGCTGGATAGCTTACTCACATTTACGAATCCAAAGTCTCTGTCTAGATTCAAACTCACAGTGATGGGGGCAAGTGGTCTGATGCCATTAACCTTAACAACTCGGCCACAGATGCCCCTTGGTCATAGATCAAGAGACAAATCTTTGCAAAATATTTTATCAGTTTTGATATTAATTAAACCTGAATGAAACCAATTTATTATAATTATACTAACAATTTTAGAAACAGCATTTGATCATTTAATGGTAATACTGCTAAACTTTAATTTGTATACATGTATAACAATTTTAAAGGTTCTACACACCATTCCAAATCCGCCAACCATTTCCTGTACAAGTGATTTCATGGGTGCCACATAGACTATCTTAAACTCATCTCCGTTGATCGTACCATCAGGATTCACATGCTTACCAATCTCTCGTAACATGGTCAACAATGCAACATTTGTTTTACCTGCTCCCTATTTTAATATAAACAATGCAAGTTCAAAATTAAGAGTAATAAGTTCAAAATAAAGAGTAATACACATCAAGTATAAACAATGTTCATTTTAAAAACAGAACACATGTTTGCAGAAATATCACAAAATTTATCAATAGCTTCCATACTAGAAAATAATTTAATGTCACAAACAGAATTTAAACAGTTAGTCATGAAGAACTTTATTACAGACTCTTCTTACAGAATAACTATCATGAAATGTTACTGACAGTGAAGAATCTATAAGAACATCTACATTTCAATGATATCAAAAAAAGTTCAAGTTCATTGGCAATTCTTATTAATTTTTATATTTCAAAACAGCAAAAAAATAAATTCTGAAATGTTAAATATTTCATTATCATACTGTATAATTGAATTCTGACAATAAGAAACTTGTAGGTAGCTCTTTTCCCTAGCAATCATTAATGTAGAGAATAAACTTACTGTTGGGGCACAAAGGAGGAGATTTTGATCTGTTTCCATTGCTGCTTTAAACAAGCGACTCTGTATTCTGTTCAATGTTTGGAACCCTTCAAAAGCTGGCTGAGCATATTTTGGTAGCCTGTCTATATTCACCAATGACTGAAAAAATGGAGAGCATATCAGCATTAACTCTCCTGTTGCTACTATTAAAGAACACAAATCTATCATTACAAATAATAATAATTCTGAGAATAATGAGCCAATATTAAAAACCTTTGCAAATCTTTTCACTCAAATTAGGGCAAAAATAGCACAAAGATACGACTTTGAATTTATTTCTTAGAATATTTCTTACTTATCTTTTGCATATCTTTCTGTTTTAAGTTTTTAGGCTCTAAGACCTCAGTGGAGTTCCTTTAATCTAACTGATCTTCAAAACAGAACAGTATTTCATTTACAACCTCAATTTTCCTGTCAAAAAACAACATTACCTCGTCCGAGTCAAACGGTTGTGGTTTTAGAGCAGGTACATGCACCTCCTCATACCCTTTCCTCTGTTTTCTAAATGATCCATCTGGTAGCTGACACTTCTTGTTGGCCATCAAATGACTGCCATGAGTGAATGACAAGTCCTCAAGATCAAGATTGCTGACATATCCAAGCTCCTGTGTAGAAAATAATTCCAATTTTTTTGTTTGTTCATTTTCAGTTCATTAAATTTCCAGTTATTTTAATGCTGTTTACTAATTCAATTTAATTTAAGCATTTTTTTCCTGGTATTTAATGGTGAGCAATTATAAAAGAATACTGCCCCCATTACCATCATTTCACAACCCATTTTGGCGAGACACCAAATTTCTTCAAAAAGATGCGGCATCACTTAAAATAGCTTTAAAAAAAGATTGCATTTGAGAACAAGAACTGTCGGAGGACAGTAAAGCTCGACTATTCGAAAATTTGTCACAAGGGTGTATCATTGAGTATAATAATGCTTACCTATATGAATACATAAAATTGTCCGAAAAGGTACAAACTCTTCAAGTTTCAATACATTCCCTTCAGTAGTTATGGAGATACAAGCTTACATACAAAAACTTAACCAAGATTTTCTATGTCGAAAAGGGGGCATAATTATGAAATAAAACAATTCAGAGTTATGGGACTTGTACAATCACCTTAGATAATCACAGAGACCAAGTGTGTGAAGTTTCAATCCATTCCCTTCAGTAGTTATGGAGATACCAGCTTACACGCAAAAACTTAACCAAAATTTCTAAGTCGAAAAAAGGGGCATAATTATGTTAAAAAGCAAATCCGAGTTATGGGACTTGTGCCAATCATCTAAGATAATCAGAGAGAACAAGTGTGTGAAGTTTCAATCCATTACCTTCAGTAGTTATGGAGATACCAGCTTACATGCAAAAACTTAACCAAGAATTTCTAAGTCAAAAAGGGGCATAATTATGTAAAAAAGCAAAATCAGAGTTATGGGACTTGTGCCAATTATCTTAGATAATCACAGAGAACAAGTGTGTGAAGTTTCAATCCATTCCCTTCAGTAGTTATGGAGATACCAGCTTACACGCAAAAACTTAACCAAGAATTTCTAAGTCGAAAAAGGGGCATAATTATGTAAAAAAGCAAATCAGAGTTATGGTACTTGTGCCAATTGTCTTAGATAAACACAGAGAACAAGTGTGTGAAGTTTCAATCAATTCCCTTCAGTAGTTATGGAGATAACAGCTTACATACACAAACTTAACTAAGAATTTCTAAGTCGAAAAAGGGGCATAATTATGTTAAAAAGCAAACCAGAGTTATGGGACTTGTGCCAATCATCTTAGATAATCACAGAGAACAAGTGTGTGAAGTTTCAATCCATTCCCTTCAGTAGTTATGGAGATACCAGCTTACATACAAAAACTTAACCAAGAATTTCTAAGTCGAAAAAGGGGCATAATTATGAAAAAAAGCAAATCAGAGTTATGGGACTTGTGCCAATCATCTTTAGATAATCACAGAGAACAAGTGTGTGAAGTTTCAATCCATTCCCTTCAGTAGTTATGGAGATACCAGCTTACATACAAAAACTTAACCAAGATTTTCTAAGTCGAAAAAGGGGCATAATTATGAAATAAAACAATTCAGAGTTATGGGACTTGTGCCAATCATCTTAGATAATCACAGAGAACAAGTGTGTGAAGTTTCAATCCATTCCCTTCAGTAGTTATGGAGATACCAGCTTACATACAAAAACTTAACCACAGGGACGCCGACGCCGACAAATGGGTGACTGCATTAGCTCGATTATTCTGCGAATAGTCGAGCTAAAAATGCTATGCCACCGCATTAATACAACACTAAATAGTAGTGTAGGAACAGATTTTCTTTGTTTCTATACAATTTTGAAGATTGTCATAATGCATAGATCCCTGACCTATCTAATTCTTATTATCAGATTAGTGGTTAAATCTGTTGTTAACTCAATAAAAGATCAGAGTAGGAATATATCAATGCACTTGAGTCTAGTGAATTTGGTGGTGAAGGTCATATTTCACACAGCCTAAATTTCATGACTACATCAAAGGACAACATAGTAAGACACTTTGTCAAAATCTAGGTCAGCTGAAATCAAAGTTTACTTAACATCTTAATCTGTACACATGGTTCAAATTTCATAGCTGTACATCAAAGGACAAGAAAGTAGGTCACATCATCAAAATCTAGTTCACCTGATATCAAAGTTCAATTTTACAACTAAAACTGTGCACATGGTCAAAATTTCATTGCTGTACATTAAAGGACAAGAAAGTAGGTCACTGTCCCCTTGGGCAAGGCAAAATTTTGGACCCAAGGGTTTAATTCAAAACAATCTTGATACAGGTCCACCAAACAACATTTCAAGTCAAATATCTAAGCTGTAGCTTTCTCCTATTCAGAAAAGATTTGTTTTATTTTCTGTTTTTACTACGTGAACATAATGAGATTCACTGCCCCTGGGCAGGGCCAATTTTAACACTAGGGCATAATTAAAACAACTTTAGTAGAGAACCCATAGAATATATTATAGAGCAAACATCAAAGCTCTATGCCTTGTACCTTCAGACAAAAATATTTCTTTTTTTTTTTTACTATATGTACATAGTAAAAATCAATGACTCCTGGGGGTGGGGCCAATTTTGACCCCAGGGCTATAATGTGTACAATCTTGCTAGAGTTTCACTACATAATGTTTCATGCAAAATATCTTAACTCTAGCCTTTGTAAATTTAGAGAAGGTGATTTTTTAAGTTTTTACTATATACATATAAGGAAAACCTATGGCCCATGGGGCGGGGCTAATTTTGACACAAGAGGCAAAATTTGAACAACTTTGTAAAGTACCTATAGATGATATCATTTAACAAAATATTCAAGCTCTAAGCCTTGTACCTTCAGACAATAAGATTTTTTTATTTTTTACTATATGTATATATTGAAAATCAATGACCCCGGGCAGGGGCAATTTTGACCCCAGGGCTATAATTTGAACAATCTTGCTAGAAGTTCACTTCACAATGTTTCATGCAAAATATCTAACCTCTAGCATTTGCTAGAAGAAATTTTTTTACTATAAAGTTTTTTCTATATACATATAAGGAAAAACAATGACCCCAGGGGCAGGGCCGATTTTGACCCCAGGGCTATAATTTGAACAATCTGAGTAGATGTCTACCAGACAATGCCTTATGCAAAATATCTAAGCTCTAGGCCTTTTGGGTCTTTACAAGAAGGTATTTTAAGTTTTTACTATATGTACATATAGTGAAAATCAATGACCCCCGGGGCGGAGCTGATTTTGACCCCAGGGCTATAATTTGAACAATCTTGGTAATGGTCTATCAGACAATGCCTTATGCAAAATATCTAAGCTCTAGACCTTTTGGGTCTTTACAAGAAGTTATTTTAAGTTTTTACTATATGTACATATAGTGAAAATCAATGACCCCGGGGCGGGGCAGATTTTGACCCAGGGTTATTATTTGAATAATCTTGGTAGAGGTCTACCAGACAATGCCTTATGCAAAATATCTAAGCTCTAGGCCTTTTGGGTCTTTACAAGAAGTTATTTTAAGTTTTTACTATATGTACATATAGTGAAAATCAATGACCCCCGGGGCGGGGCCGATTTTGACACCAGGGTTATAATTTGAACAATCTTGGTAGAGGTCTACCAGACAATGCCTTATGCAAAATATCTAAGCTCTAGGCCTTTTGGGTCTTTACAAGAAGATTTTTTAAATTTATTCTTATAATTCCTTTTGGTTGCCATGGCAACCAGATTTCTGCATGGAATGAAATTCTTTGAACAACTTTGGAAGCCCTTCACCCAAGGATCAATCCTGCCAAGTTTAGTTGAAATTGGACAAGTGGTTTTTCACAAGAAGATTTTTTAAGTTCACTATATAATCTATATAACACACACACACACAAACAAACACACAGGTGAATCGCTATATGCCACCGCATCGCAGATGCTGCGGTGGCATAAAAACAGTATCTATAATAAAAATCACCAAAAACATGTGCCTTGACTGAACTACAGTAAAGTTGAGACAAAACAAGAGCTGTCCGTAAGACAGCGCGCTCGACTTTTTTATTGCTTGCCAATAAAAAAAGTTTTTGCAGTAAAAGGCAATACAAGAATCTCTGTATTTTTAAAGTGAACTAGTTGTTTGATACCCTTGAATATTACAGCAATGTTTATATGACATAATTTATGGTAAAGTGAACAAGTGGATAGGAATGAATTTTTTTAGATTTTTTAAGTTTTTTAGTGCTTGCCTATAATACAAAACATTGACAGTTAAGGGCCATAATTCAAATAAAATCTTTGACAGAATTACCTTCTCCTGGACATGTTTGGGAATCATGATTGTAAACAAGTATTCCAACTTTCAAATTAATATCTCAAAACAGTTCAGTCAAAAAGTGGACTGGTACTAAAAACTTAACCAAGATTCTAAGTCGATAAAAGGCCTTAATTTTTAAAACAAATCCTTGACAGAGTTACCTTCTCTTGCGTACAGATGGGGGTAATGATGTGAAATAGCATTAAAAGTTTCAAAGCAATATCTCAAAGGGTTAAGGCAATAAGTGGATTTTACCCATATTCAATGTATTTTCTAAGTCAAAAAGGGGCATAATTCTGTCAAAAACCTTGACAGAGTTATGTCCTCTTGTCTGTTGATGAAGGTCGTGATGGTAAACAAGTATGGTCAGTTTCAAAGCAATACCTCCAATGGTTTTGAAATAAAGTGAGGTGGTACAAAAAACTTAACCAAGCTCAATACACTTTCTAAGTCAAAAAAGGGCCATAATTCTGTCAAAAACCTTGACAGAGTTATGTACTCTTGTCTGTAGATGGAGGTTATGATGGTGAACAAGTATGGTAAGTTTCAAAGCCATACTTGTAATACTTCTGAAATAAAGTGGGGTGGTGCGAAAAACTTAACCAAGGTATGACGCCAACGCCGACGCCGACGCCGGGGCGAGTAGGATAGCTCCCCTTTTCATAGAAAAGTCGAGCTAAAAACTGGAACAGTACCTGTGTATCGTCGGTATCCATGGCCTCAATATCTGCTGCGACGCGGCTTTTCCTTGCCTGGTCTCGACGTGACCTCTCTTCAGATACGATATCTTCTTTATCTATAGCTTGTAGAGCCTGTAAAATCTTCAGTAATTCTGGTTCACTCTCCATCTTCTCCTCTATGTCAACTTTTTCTTTCTCATTCTGAGCTTGAGCCAGTAGTGTACAGTATAGGACTGAAAAAACAACCAGTTAGCCAATGAGTGCTTGATTTAAATGTCTCCCTTGGGCAAAGTGTCACCTAGATAAGTTAAAGTGGAGTGGCTTAATCTTCATACAATTATTTGGGTGTTGGATGCTCACTGAATTTTTTTTAACAATAGAAAATCACAGTGATTTTTCATTGTATATTACCAGAGGCCTATAAAATGCCTTTTCCCAATTGAAAATTTCTTTAAAATCATGCAGTTTTCCTAAAAATCTGAACTTACACCAGCTTGTTAACTTCCCAAATTAGCAATATTAGCGGTAATTTTTTCCAAAATCAAGGAACTATGGCATCTTCCCAATTAAGTGAGAAAACCCACAGCATCAGAGATTTCTATTGAATACAGTTATACAAGAAGTCTTTAATCCTACCTTTATCAGATAATCAGTGTTCTATACATTCGCATCAAAAAGTTTCGGCAAAATATGAAAATTCTTAATCTATAAAAATGATATAAAGTGAATTTCTGTCATGACTTTAAACTTACTCATCTGTCTATACTGCCTCAAAACTTTGATAAAGGCAAATGCATCAACTCCCAGTAACATGACCAACTGATTCTCTGCCTCCCTGTCATCACCAGATGCCTAAAATATGTTAAATCACAGGTAAACTTAGACCATTGGAGATGAGTGAAAAAGGTTAAAACCCAGGTTTAGACAAAGTTTAAATATTACATATATATACATCAATCTGTTTTATCTATATAATAATGTTATGGTGTTTGATGAAACTGATCTCTTTTTTTTAATTTGGAACAAAAAGAATTGCATATATGTGTGATATTAGGCTGTGAGGGAATCCACTTGATGCAATCATTAAAATTGAAATTTTTCCATTTGCAAAGAGTCAACATTGTAACTGTAAAATCACTTAACATTTTCAACTGTAAATGATGTGTACAAAATTGCATTACACAAGTATTTATCAAACAGTTCTGAAAAAATAATAAACTCCTTAATTTGATATAAAGCAAATATACCTGGAGAATTTGTAGAACTTCTTTAGATTTTGACTGTGCCATGGTTGGATCATCTGGGTAATATTTACTCAGGTTTCTCTGTAGCCAAAAGGCATCTATATCTCTCGGGTGAAGTCCAACACTATCCTTAGCACTTAGACTCTGGTCTCCACCACCAAGCTAATAAACAAAACAGATAAAGAATCTTATATATTTATAAAAAACTAGAAATGTGTCATCATGCCACGGATGCCCCCGCATGCAGCCAAAATTTCAGATGGTGCATTAGTTATTTTTTTCATTTTAAGTTCAAAGCCTTTAAAACTTTTCAATGTTAACACAAACCATTTTCATACAATGTTCAAGGCACTGAAATTATTCAGTCTTAACCTTTTAAAAATAGCATATTGCATATTTGTAGCCAAAATAATGGCTAAAAGTATGAGTGCTGAAACTGAAAGTTCAAAATTTTTCCAACATTCAGGAAAGATAAGTTTGTCTAAAATCATTGAACCACGACCAATTCAAACTTAAACTGCTTATTCCTAAGATGTATCTATATTATTTTCAAAAGTGAAATTAGGGACATAACTCTGGCAAAACATCAAATCAAACCATGACCAAATTCCAACTTGACCTGCCCCTTCCTTTGACATATCATATGTCAAATTTAAGTTGAATATGTAACAATGTTGGGTAGATAATGAACAGAAAACTGTAAATTTCATATTATTTTCAAAAGTGAAAGGGGCATTAACTCTGCCCAAAATCATTGAACCATGACCAAATTCAACTTGGCTTTGGGCATTCCAAAAAACATATCCATATGTCAAATTTGGGTTAAATGTGTTGAACCATTGGGGAGATAAAAACGGAAACTGAAAATTTCATATTACTTTCAAAGTGAAAGCGGCATAACTCTGCCAAAAATTCTTTGAACCGCGACCAAAATTGAACTTGAACCCTCCGCATTCCTTTGACGCATCCATATGTCAAGTTTGAGTTGATGTGTTGTACCTTTGGGGAGATAATGAACGGAAACTGAAAATTTCATATTTGTTTTCAAAGTAAAAGGGGCATAACTCTGCCAAAAAATCATCGAACCTTGACCAAATTCGAACTTGACCTGTAAATTTTTTTTCATGGACATATCCATATGTGTCAAGTTTGAGTTGAATGTGTTTGTACCTTTGGGAGATAATGAACGGAAACTGAAAATTCATATTATTTTCAAAGTAAAAGGGCATAACTCTGCCAAAAATCATCGAACCATGACCAAATTCGAACTTGACCTATATTTTCTCATGACATATCCATATGTCAAGTTTGAGTTGATGTTGTTGTACCATTTGGGAGATAATGAACGGAAACTGAAAATTTCATATTATTTTCAAAGTAAAAGGGGCATACTTGCCCAAAAATCATCGAAACAGACCAAATTCGAACTTGACCCTGTATTTTCTCCATGGAAACCATATCCAAATAATGTCCCAAGTTGAGTAGAATGTGTTGGTCCGTTTTGCTCAGATTGGATACTCGTCTTTATTCTTTATATGATGTTAAACCCTTCTCTCTCCTCCTCGTACTTTTTACAAATCAATGTTCGCGAATAAAGGAAAGGGATTGGTATTGGGGAAAGAACTACAGAGTGGTCATTGCTCAATGAGGAAAACTGTTCAAGTATATATTATAGATGAAATGATGAACCATATAAATACAAATTTTGAACTTCATTACCGCCAATTTTATATCGCTTACAATTTTAACATTTTACGCTTTACAACAGTTAATAGAAAGACAGACGCGTAAACATAAAGTGCATTTGATGTCTTCTTTAGTTTTCAAGTATTACAATTATTAAACACATTCCTTTGATGTAGATACTCATAACATTTTTATTTGATCTCATTATGAATTTCAAAACTGCGTAAGACGCAACCGTTAACATGATGTGTTTTTATTTATCTTTTATCATCTAGATGTTAAGTAAAACTGGTAAATTAAAACTTCAGAGTGCCTACTTTGTACTTATTTCAGACGCAGCTGTCACTTGAGTAGAGCCCCGAAATTTCTGAAGCTAGCCCATGAACCATACAGTGGAAAGATGCAAGTCTTGGAAGTGTACAACCGTTACCACTTTCCCGAATGCCCCTGAAACTTCATTGTATCATAATTTAAATATATAAAATAGCATAAGCGATTGCGTCATATTTTATCAATGTATAATTGGTATTAATATATTTAAGCATTTCTGTCAAAAGTCCAGAATACCAAACAGCAACATCAATGGAATTCGAATACTGACCTTCTCCAGCTACAATTTACCATGTATGGCGATGACTTGTATAGCTAAAGAGGAACAAACCCGGCGTATACCATTTCTGCCAACATTGGTTTAGCGAAGCGGATATGTTTCTATCTCTCAGTCTTTGAATAATCCTGATGTTGCGAGACACCAGCTGTACCTTTTTCTGTGCAGCGAAGTCCATGTACACACATGAAAATATGGTCTTTTCTTTGACCTCATCCCTACTTATATCAATATAATTAACTTTTAAGAACTTAAAAAAATGTTTATTTCAAACTAAGCTACTCGATACAGGGGTTTTTTATGACGTTTAGTTAGCAAATCGTTTCATATCTGGAATATTTTGTGCCTAAAAACTGTAAATTATCATTGTATGATTATTCTTGTCTTAATTTCTGCTCATAGAAGATAAAAACAAGTTCAAACCGTTTACTCTAATTTATTATTATAACACAGATGATAAATTAAATCTATATTTACAAGCATTATGTTTAAATATATTTCTCGATTATCATACAGCTATAACAATTTTTGAAGATAGTTGCATAGTGGACAAGCATTTACATATTAGTGTCCAGATATTTTGAATAAATATTGGTTGACATTTCGCAATGCACAAAAGAAAGCTATACAACTTACTTACGAAATTACGAAATGTCGGTTGACTTGGTTTTTCTCAGGTATCCGCTTTTTAATCGCTGCCAAAAATAATGTCGCTATGAAGCGTATTTCGCTTTCCCCCAAAATACCAATCTCCACTTTGTGATTAAAAATTGAAAAAAAAATATGTTAAATATGTTTCCGAGACAGTGAAATAGTTAATGTGAATTATCTGAACCTCTAAAAAACGCCTCATAACGGACAAAACAAAAAGGTTTTCAGGTTTTCGCTTTGATTATGGCTGGGTAATGGACTGTACTGGTTTTCATTCGTGTCATTCCATGAAAAGCGGCGTTATGGTCCCCATTAATGAAAGCGAGTGTCCTAAAATGTTAAAACAGTGAGCGGAACTAAAGAAAAAATGGGGAAATTTTAAAAAAAGGGAGGGGGAAAAATGATCAGGGTTATGAATTCGTACATATCCACACAATAAAGCACGTAAAAGGCAAAACCATATTCATTAAGTGTAGATACCAAAAACATGATACACCGGTGTAACCGTTGGCCTAGGGTTAAGGCGTCCGCCTCGGATCGGGAGGTCGAAGGCTTCGAGCCCCACGGAAGCGTTAATGAGGATGAATGTTTCTCTGGGACTCGTTCCGAAATGGCCACTTCGTGAGCCGCGAGGTAGTTAATATGTAATGGTTACCGATTTCTATCCGCCTGCGACCCTGGGCATAGTGGTAGGAATTGAGGGTACATGGTATGCAACAAAAGGTGTTCATAGTCAAATGGCTGGCCCTTTCTAGTAGGGGTTGACACTATAAATAAAACAAAGACCTGTTACCGTTTTAATCTCTTTACCTTTTTTTAACATGACGAATTATCATAATTCTGACTAGGATATACAAAGTGACGTTTATTCTATATTGAATGAAAACTGACAACAGCCTAGTTGGCACAAGTATTAATATATTCGTACATATAGTGATGACACTCTTTATAATTTTACAATTAAACTAGGTCTATCCAATTAAACCAATACCCTTCTAATTTAAAAAGCA